GTGCTCACTATATGCCAGCCTGTTCTAGATGCTTAGGATAATACTTTATGGTGAATGGAGTAATAAAACAGGCAAAAATCCATGACACCATAGAGCCTACCTTCTAGCAAATGAGACACAATTGAGTAATTGATATAATGGTAATAAATAAATAACCTTGTATTTTAAGAGACAACAAGTGCTAAAGAATAAAAAGGAAAAGTGAAGCTGGGTATGGAGGACCATATCATAGCTAGGGGGACAGAAACAGTGAAGCACTTATTAGGTTGGTCTGGGTAGGCCTTATTGAGAAGGTGAGATTTGTGGATATCTGGAGAAAGAGGAACAGTCAAGCAAAGATAGTTCCAAGGAGTATACTGGCTATCCTGGTATGTTCAATGAACAGCAAGGAAGCCAATGTGGTTGAAGCAATGTTGGCAAGAGAGAAAGTTGAGGGAGGTGAGGTCAGAGAAGGAATTTGGAGACAGTTATACAGGACCGTGGAGAAATTTGGCTTTTATTCTCGATGAAATGGGGTGTCATTGCAGGGTTTTAAGCAGTAGAGTGGCATGATTCCACTTAAATTTTAAAGGGTATGTATTATTAATTACTGCTATTATTAATTCCACCACTCATCTGTCAGCTTGTCGTACTGCGGTGGCTTACGTGTTGCTTTGAGGCTGGAGACTATACCACCGGTATTTCATATACCAGCAGGGTGACCCATTATTAATTATAAAATATTTTAAAATTTAATCACATAATGTATTGCATAACTTTTGTCATACACACAAATCTCAATTTACCCTCCACAAAACCAAAACCAAACCCACTGCTAATGAGTCGATCACAATACATGGTGACCTCACGTGTTAGACAGTAAAACTGTTCAATAGAGTTTTCTTGGCCGTGACCTTTGCTGAAGCAAACTGACAGGCCTTTCTTTTGCAGAGCCACTGGGTAAGTTTGAACCATCAACCTTTAGGTTAGTAGAAGAGAGCAAACTGTTTGTGTCACTCAGTCATCTTTTTTACCATCCACCACTCCCAATAAGATACTATCATTTCTATGTTCTCAAAGAAAATATAAAGTCTAAGTAAATATCTTGGGTATGATACAACCAAAACCAATTGCCATCAAGTTGATTCCAACTTATGGTGACCTCATCATGTATGTCAGAGTAGAACTGTGCTCCACAGGGTTTCAATCTGGTTTTTCAGAAGTAGATTTCCAGACCTTTCTTCCCAGCTGATTCTGGGTGGACTAGAACCACCAACCTTTCAGTCATCAACCAAGCACCTTAACCATTTGCACCACCCAGCGACACAGGAAGATACAGTAAGTAGAAAAGCCAGGTAAAATGAACACTTGTGTCTAAATCCTAGTTGACAACTGTCTCCTCTTTCCTATACTCTCATTTATATTAAATTTGTAAAGAAAAAAATATTAATTAAGATTAATTATCCAGATAACTTAATCAATAAAGATGTTCAGTTTGACATATTAAAATTGAATCAAACCACTTTCCTCTTACTATTAATTTCTTAAAAGTAATGATCTAAAAACCAAACCAAACTCACTGCCATCAAGTTGGATCTGACTCATAGTGACCCCTCCTTGGGTTTCCAAGGCACTTTCACTATGCAAGTAGATTGTCCAACCTTCCTTCCGAGGAGTAGCTGGTAGCTTTGAACCAACAGCCTTGTGGTTAGCGGTCAAATGCATAAGGCACCACACCACCAGAGCTCCCAAAGTAATGATAGGTATATGTTTCTCCAACTTACTATGTGAAATGACATATGCAAATTCAAGATAAGAATTTTGAATGCAAAAGTAATCATAATAGTTTAAATCTGTAACAATACATTTTATACTTTTTCAAAGTTTTTAGTATACATTGACATTTTTAACTGTCTACTACAGGTCAGTCACTATGATAAATTCTTTGCTTACAGCATCACACTTAATATTCACTAAACATTTTAAGATAGATATTACCCACTGTCATAGAGTCAATACCAACTCACAGCAACCCCCACTCCTTTTCTCCAAAGCTGTAATCTTCCTCCTGCAGAACAGCTGGTGGGTTTGAACTACTGAGCTTGCTGTTAGCAGCCGAAGGACTTACCCAGTATGCCACCAGAGCTCCTTAATTTAGGTAGGTATTGGTCACTCAATTTTATAGACAAATGTGAGCCAGAGATGCTAAGTATTGAAAGATCACATGACTGCTAAGTACCAAAACAGAGAATTTACCTAAATCTCCTCAGTCTAAAGGTAGGTTCTCATCAACTAAACCACACTGCCTCATTGCAGCATGATGCTCAACTTGTCACCTAACATTACTAATTTAAGGGTCAGCCAAATATGACTGGCCCCATTTTACAGATGATTAACTTGTTGTACAATAGTTAATCAAGCAATCAACACTTACTTTACGGCCGCAATATGCAAATCAATATTTAGTTGCTAAGAGCACAGAGGATTTATGATACAATATGTAGCCTCAAAGAACTTACAATCTTGTTAACATAACAGGAGACTCATAAAAAAGGTAATAAATACTACAAGATAGCAGAGTAAAGTAGCAAATGAGACAGTGAACCAACAAATGTTAAAGAAATTCAGCAGAGAGATAAATAAACCTGAGGTGTACTATTCCATCAGGAAGTAATTTTAGTAAAAAGGATTGGTGTTGGGATGATCTTCACAAGAAAACGGTTTCGTCTGTACGGAGGATGAGGAGAAATAATTCCAGATGTGAAGAAATTATCAAGAGAAAATGAACAGATGAGTTAGAAGGGGAGGACTGATAAGAGGCCAACTAGTAAATGAAGCTAAAGAAACAGATTGTAGAAAGTCTTGGTTATTTAGTTGAGAACTGCAAGCAAAAGATACCTGCTCCATCCATACACTTTTTGTTTGTTTAATACTCTCAACAACCCTATAAGTTAGTAAAGAAGGCGTAGCATGGCCATTTTAAAGCAGAAGAAATACACAAAACAAAGCCTTGTATGTGTGGATGGATCAGAAATGACCATAGATCTACATGCTTCTAAGGTCTGTATTCCTTTAAGTACTCCTTCCCCACTATGTGCCAAACACAATGGGGAGCCACCAATTGTATCTGATCAAGAGGAGAGAGTGCCATGACAAGCAGTGTGAGACTGAAACAAGACTAATCTGACTGTGAGACAGCAGACCCTAATGCATACAGTAATGGTCAGTCCCTGGAGAAGGACTCACGCTTGCTAAAGGAGAAGTTCAATGAACAATGGGCTCAAACACAGCAATGATCGTGGGCTGGCACAGGACTGGGCAATGTTTCATTCTGTTGTACATAGGGTCACAGTGAGTCAGAACCCCCACAACAGCACCTAACAGCAATATATCCAATAATGAGAGGATAGGGGAAGGAAGACAATAAAAAAGGCCACTCAATCTACTGCACTAATCCAAATAACAAGACAATGGGGACTTCGAGTATCGACAAATGAAAATAAAGGAGGTAAAAGGAATTGCAAAAATGAGAATACCCAGGTCCTTTCTAATACGCAGCCATGTAACAAGCATAAATATTCATCCTAAAAATTCAAAGAGACAAAGTCTTCAGGCACAAGTATTATAATACGTTTGGGTAGCATGTAATTTACTTAAAAATAATAAAATCTGTTACTTAGGCAAAAGATCTTCATTAGTGTAACCTACCTCGTAAACCACCATCATGAATTATGGCGGACTTAAGCTTGACACATTTACAGGAGTTTGGCACTGACTCATTACCACGTATGCTAACACGATGGTAATTTCCTATATCCATGCCCATTAAGCATATTAATTACTAAGGAGATATTATATTGTTTTGTTTTTCTCTTATAAAAATAGATGCTGAGATGTAATGTGTCATATTTGTGAACATCATTCCTCTGTGAGGCTTTTCTCTTAAAATACTAAATGCCAATTTGCCACCCAAAGATTCAAATAAAAAACTAGTAGTAATTAAATGGCATGTTATTTGAAAACAAGTTGGAGTTCTTCCAAAGTTTTTTGAACCCTGGATAATCAAAACCATACAATGCCAAAGAAATATACAGAATTAAATCCTCCTACAGTTTTCAAAGGAAATATTTACATGAATATCCTGGCATTTAGCCATGCCAGATATTTTCAAACTTAATACTCTGTGTATGTATGTATGTATCTTTATACATCATTTTAGAATCAATGAGTAATAATATTTTGACTCAGAATCCTCTTAGGAATTTCATACTTATGCATACTTTCAAACCTGATCTTCTTAGTACCACCTAGCTACGATGAAGGATAATTAGATTTTAACATATTTGCCAAGGCTGATTCTCCTTACCTTTATAAATACAGATTTCCTTGCCTGTGTTGAAAATAAATGCTTAGAAATGAAACGAAATTGTACCACAGCAAAATAGATTTAAACCTATAGCTAATATATACCTAAAAAGTGAAAGTTCAAAGAATATCAAACTTGTACTTTATATGGAAATATTACATGTATGTAAAGAAATAACATCTTAGGATTCTAACAAGTGTATTTGTTGAAATGTAGCACATACACCCGTATTTTTTAGGCTCCTAATTTCTGTGTATCTGTATATACTGGTGTGAACACAGGCATCTGCAAAATACTACGAAAGGCATCAATAATACAATATAAACATTTCAGCTCAATACCATTATATTTCAACATACTCTAAGTTTGAAAAACTCTGACATTAGAAATTTGAAATAATTAATTTCAAAGCTTTTCATTCAGGAAGTCTGGCCTATATGACTTCAGGCATTTTATAAAAGATATGTCAAATACATTATGCATATAGGAAAGGAATCACAGAAAATGATTGTTGCATATAACTTACTATTTTCTAAAGCTTTTTTAATACAGAATGATGCATTCATACATAAAATGTATTTAAATATGAATACTGCCGCTCAATTTTGTAGGCATTATTTTGTGATTGTTTAAAAAAAAGTAAAACTATTTTTACCTCCCAGTCCTGGTCTAAGCCGATTATCGTAACCATCCAGAAGTCTGTCTAGAATTCTGGTAAAGATGGTAATGTTATTCTTAGCCTCATCTTCTTGGATGTTAGCCAGCACCAACCTAAACAGATAATTTTACAAGCTGATATACACACATAAGAGTGCTTTGCAAGTGCCAACAAGCTCTTCTTCTTTGAATTTAATTTGAAGGCTCCCTCAGCTATTAGTGTCCCCCTTTTTCCTCCTTTTTTCACTTCTATAAATACTGGACTAACTGTTGGGAAAGTAAGCATGTTGCTGAAAATGAGTACTAAATATGAGATGATCAGAAAGTTTGATGTCAACAGTATTACAGATTTCTACCACCTAGCATTCTGTGTATTCATTCTTTTATTTCTAAAATTCATTCCCTAGAATAGAGGATAATTGTACATTATCATATGTAGATATAATTAATGATGTTACTCTGCAGTTAGAAGGGAACAATAATCAAAGGAATTCATGAAATAATTCTTTAGGGATCTGAATATTAATTGGAAAATAAATTGCCTCCTAGGAAGTATAAAATTTCTCTATGTTTCTCATAATTATATTTCTTTTCCTCTTAAACCAAGATGATTTCCTTACTTTGGATATACCTCCACCCAATGGCCAAGTGTAATATAGACATCAGGGAAACTCCGCTGGCCTTGCTCCAAGCACCACTGATGCCAGGAAGGAGGAGGTGGGCTCTGAAGGGATCAGCAGTACACACACAGCTACAACCAGCCTTGGAGGGGCAGTCCCTTCTGCCTGGTCTCCGAGGAGACAAATAAGGGACGACAGTAAGATGAAAATGCTCAGCCACATTTTTGTGATAAATTTGTAGAAAGAACAAATGGTCTTAAAATATCACAAAAATGGTTAGAAACTGATTTTTCCCCCCACGATTTCTCTGTCATAAAACCAGACACCTGATTTTATGACATGTAGCAATCTGATACAGAAGGAATTAGATACATAAAACAGAATGTCCCTTTTCACTGCCATTTTTTTTTCCCAGAATGATTCAGAGATTTAAATTACTCCCCCAAAAGAATCAATTACATAATAAAATACTGACTTTAGCATTACCAGTCAAATATAGAACAGAAAACTAGTGGAGAAAAATAGGGTAAGTACAGAGGATTTTTACTGATTATTATTTATCATGGCTTGTTCACTTCTTTCAAGTTCAAAGATAATGTGTGACTTCATTTTGATCAAGGTGTATTGTGGAAAATATTAACAGAGTCTACTTGAATGTATGATTACAGAACTAGTAGCTAAAAATACCCTTCATACATCAAAACACTGGTAACCACCTTCAAATATTTTCTCTGCTTCACAGAGCACAGAAAACATCAAAACACTGATATAAGGGTAACATTTTTTAAGTATATAAATCAACGAGTTCATACCCTCTAGCCTCAAAGTTTCTATACTGCCTATTTAACCTAATTTTAAAACTAATCACTAAGGTTGTCATAAAGTTCCACATAGATTTTTACTCAAAACTGTTTTTGTAATCATATGTCATAGTTTCTTTCTAAAGTCAATGTTCAAATGTTAAAGGAGTAGATATTTTCCGATTAAAAAAAAAAGTTTATAAAAAGGTTTCTTCTCAATTCTGGAAAACAGTGCTTTCATATTTGGCAATTTATTGGATAGTAAAATCAAAAATTAAAAGGAAATAGATATAAAAAAGACTTACTGGTTAAAAAAAAGAAAAATTATGAAACTTGTCTTTTAAGTTATATGTTATTTTGAAGATCTTATCCTAATAATATTAAAAAAGGTGTCCATTTAAGGTATCATGATAAAAATAAGAATAGACTACAACTAAGATGAAGTTATTGAAAGCAACAAAAAATTAGTTTCATATTTGTAGAATATAGTGAAAACAAATTTAGTTACATTTTAAAATACTTTTTATAATGGTGACCATTTTAGGAATAAAATATTTCTACATCAATAATATAAAAAGTTGACTGATAAATCAAGCTTTTTATTGTTTGTGACAGTGAAGTTGTATACTATCTCCACCTAGAGGTTTAAGGCTCATACATCATTTGGGTTTTTCTAGATTGACTAAAAGAGCAAAGATCACTAAAAAAAGAAAGAAAGAGAAAAAGAAAACGTTAACACTCAAATCTTTTTAGTCTGTGCTTCCCTGTTTGGCTTCAAGGAAAACTGTTGGTTTCCTTACCAAATTTTGTTGTGATTATAAGCACATTTAACTTCACTACTTCAATTTCTTGTGAAAGGATATTCTTTCCTTCAGTGGAAATTTTCCTTTTTTCTTTGGAAATGTTTCTGTTCACTTTCATATTTTATAGTTAAAAACAAGTAGCAATGAACTTTTTATAGGCTCTGCCACTTTGTATGTCAGTATTCTGGTACAACCTTTTTCAATAGAGATAATTCTTCAGGATAACCCAGATTCTCAAAAGCCAGCCCTATGGTTGATGGCATTCAAGAAACACACTTTTACCCTGAATTAGAACTATCAAATATAATTAATGTCTCACCTGGCTGGGTCCCACACCCAGAACACTAGAAGCAGCAATGGCATGTTGTAAATGTTCCATTTCCTCTTCATTCCTGGTTTTTTGTAAAGCTTTGGAAGACAAACAAAAGATACCTAAAATTACATCCTGTCCCCACCATCCAAGTAACCCAAAAATTGTCATTTCAAAGGGGAACTTTAGTGAAAGCTATGGAGATTACTCCAGTCAAGCTTAAGGCGTGATAATTGGGTGAGGGGGTGTTGTTTTGTTTGTTTTCCCCCTTTTCATTTTTGACAGCAAGATGACCAGGTATTCAGACTTTGCTCTGCCGGGAACTTCCCCTGGCCCCACTATTAACAAATACTGTTTTGTACACACAAGTAATAATAACACCAGAGACCGTAAGCGCGGATACAGGAGCTGGAGAAAGAAAAGGGGTGGAGGGGAAAGTGGAAAAGGGGAGGAGAAATAGGTTCGAGCCACAATCCTCTAAACCAAGACCACCCCCGCAGCAACCACAGCAAAAAAAAAAAAAAAAAGCTAGGGGCAGCCAGCCCACTTTTTCAATTATTCTTTCCATTACAGTAACCTGCGGTCCTCACGCCTTCACTCCTTCCGAAATAAAATAAAATAATCCCCTTCCTGCTCATCCACAGTTGACCAAGCTCCCGTCTTGGAGCCAGCCAGGATAAGATCAACCGCTGCGAAACGACGCGTTTGACAGCTGTTCTGGAGTCCACGACCACAATAAGAGAACGAGCGTGAGGCTCCCGGATCAAACACCAGCAGGCAGGCAGCGGCAATCACAGTGTGCAAAGTTGAAGACTATAAAAGACCGAGGCTAACGTGCCGACCGGCGGGCGCCTTGGATCTTACTGTAGTTGCAAATACGCTTCTGGAGATGAGTATGGAAATTATTATTTTAAATGGGCTCCTTAGGAAGGGGGGAACCTGAGCCTCCTACGTTTCCAGGAAGCATCGGAGAGTGGGGTGGAGGGAGATGAAACATGCACGGGAGGCGAAGAAACGGGAAATGGTCCCCGCGTTGGGACCAACGCGTGCGACCCTACCTGAAGAGCAGCAAGCCAAAATCGTTGTTTTCCTCCCTTTGCCCTGATCTTGAGGAGATAGGAAACTTGCAAGAGGAGACGAGAAAGATGAGAACGACTGCAGCAGCAGCCGCGGAGCTAG